TCTTCATTGTGTAGCATGAATCCTCAAAAAACGCAGTAGCAATGTGACCAATCCCTTCTTGACTGACATTCCAAGACAAATGTTTTATTTTCATTCATGATTCAAATAACATCTAAATCGTGAATGCTTTTGGTGACTCCAAACGTTGCTCATTCATACGGCTATGTGATCATGCACTTACTATTTCAAATCTGGTATGCTGTTTACCCTTTGCAATTACCGATTAGAATCATTTATGCTTGAAATAGACGGTTTGATGTGAATAGTAGAAATTTTAAGTTACTAGAAAGTAGTAGTTTGGCAAGAACTCCAGCACTATGGAATACCACAAATCTCTATCAGCCTCATTCAACAACTATATGAAGACACCACATACCAAGTAATTCACAATGGAAAACTCACTGCTGCTTTTAAAGTGAAGACAGCAGTGAAACAAGGCTGCCTACTATCACACATGATATTCCTGATTGTGGTCGACTGGATCATGCAACAAACAGTGGGGAGCGAGAAGAGGGGGATACGATGGACCGGGGAAAAGAACCTAGAAGATTTGGATTTCACCGATGACTTGTGTCTGATGTCACACAAACTCGGAGATCTACAGGCAGAATCCAACAAGTTGACAGAAAAGGCGAGACAGGGCAGCGAAGACAGGACTTCAAGTGAAGGTAGAGGAGACAGGTGATGAAGATACCCAACTACCAACAAAAACAACAACAAGCTCCAATCACCATCAACGGGAGAAACCTAAAGGAATTGGCCTCCTTCATCTATCTAGGCAACACTGTTTCAAATACAGGTTGCACAGACGAGGACATCAAAGCCAGCCAGAATCGGAAAAGCAAGATAGGCGTTTACTAACCTGAAACCAGTGTGGAGATCTTCTGCACTCAGCATAAGTCATGAACAGCATCCAGATTTTCAACACCAACGTGAAGTCAGTGCTTCTGTATGGTTCAGAGACTTGACGCGTTACGAAAAGGATTTCCAATAAACTACAGATATTCGTCAACAACTGCCTACACTGGCATGTTACTGAAGACCAGATGGATAGCCAGAAATAATAAAGAACAAGGAACTTGGGCTGGCTGGCAACGAGCCAATCAAGAAGCTATCGCTCTACAAATATGCAGAAGTATGTGGAGATGGACTGGGCATACACTGAGAAGATTGACTGGAGACTTCACGCGCCAGGCCGTTGAGCGGGACCCCGATGGGAAACGACGAGTTGGGCACCCGAGGCGAGCGTGACATGGGAGAGATCTTGTGAGGAAGAAATGAGAGTTTGTGGGCAGTCGTGAAACCAGGTTCAAAAGATTGCAGAGAACAGAGCGCATTGGAAACGTGCTACTGAAGCCCTACGTTCCACTAGGAACCCAAGGGACAAATAATAATGATAATTAAAGAAAGTAAAATACTACTTGATGTCACTTTGAAAATAGCCGCTTTTCAAGTTTAGAATATTTTTCTTTTTTACAGTAATTCAGTTGTATGCAAACAGTGTAGTCAAAGCTGAATTTAAATACATTTTGGTCATGTTCCCAAAATGAAACTAGCGGTCAAAATACACAAATTATATAAAAATTGAACCAACCGGAAAAATTAAAGGAATGTTGCGATTAGGCAGTTGAATTGAAAACAAAATAATCTTTGTCAATAACTAAAAGTGTAATGCCTGGAAAATAGAAGAAATTCTCATATACAACTTTTTCAGTGTTTGTAAATGGAATATTTTCTTAAAATATTACTGTTGGTGATTTTTCGAGTCTAGCGTTGGAATAAGCTGCGTACAGTAGATAAGACTTCATTTTACGCCCAAACTTTGAATTTCGAACAAATAGTATTCAGTCTCAGAAAAAGACAATTTTTTAGAGCTGTTTATTGTTACAAAGGTTTGGGAAATACCGGTAAACAGTAGGTTTAGGAAATCTGTATCTAACGTGTGAGTTTACTTTATCTATATAATTCATCCCAGTTTTTTCGGGAAACATTATTTTTCTATTGTGATAATATATTTCTTGATGAGGATGTTGAAAGATAGATAGTCAACTGGGTTAGACTTCATTTTATTTTCGATGCTGTGGTCCGCGAAGTCGCCAGCTTTCGGTTAATGTTATCACCTAACTTCTGACTTGACAAGGTACCGTATTTTATTTTAAACTAAAGTCTTGACAGCAACGCTCACTATTTCTTGCACACTTCTCAAGCCTTCCAAATAAAGCGGATCAACAAAACTATCTTCTCCATTCGTCTAGTAATTTTTAGAGCTAGCCTTTTTTAGAACAATTGAGGCATATTTGACTCTTCTAAATGTTTGTCAGTTTTTTGGTTTCATGTTGTACATTTTTAATTTGATGAACATGGATGCAAGATTTGATGTACTTACAACAAACTGTCAGTTACTTTGATCCTGACATGCTTTTTTACTTTTCAATAATTAATGAAACAAGCGTTAACCCCTAAAATAACCATAATGACAACTTAATTGATCATTGAAATGACACAGTTGATGTTTAGGTATAAGGTGACGACAGCAGTCTTCTGGAACAATCTTATTTCATTGGAACATGGTTTTACTTTGTATAGAATTAAATTATAGTGCGAAAAATGTTTCTTCACTTATAGCTGTGTTCGATTTCTAGACAGAAGTTAAGAGCCTAGGATTTTTTTATTGACAACTAGCTGACCCGAAACTTTGTGAATTTGCAAGCTTCTTGAAGATGATCATAAGGTTCATCGGAAAAATAAAAAGGAATATGGAGAATTTCCAGTAGACTGGAGGCAAACACGGACCAACATATTTACATAAGTATTTTTTGCAAAATTATTTACAAACCCGGATACATATAATGATATGAAAAAGACGCATTTGACCTTGGTAATTTTCCGGATGATTGATCAATAGGAACACTTTTGGAAAACGTTTTAATTTATGTATCGTTTTAACAAATGATGTCAAAATGTTTGGTGGAAAATTAAAAAGGTCTAACAGTATTAGTTATTGAAATTGAATAAATTGTAAAGAAAGGACCTGAACTTAGAAATAACAGTTAGGTTTTTCACTACACCTTCGTCATACAGCCTTGACTTCTGAACCCTCAAATAATAATGAATAAAGATCATTACATGTAAGAAGATATCAATATTATAAATCAGCGTTTAGCCTAAAAAGATTAATGGTAGATCTAAGCATATAATCCCTAAATTCAATAGATAAATGTCCAGGAAGTACTGATCAAAGTTTAAGATCCATCTCAAGACCTTGAAACTAGGCTCAGATTTATTCTTTTGATAAATCATCCAGCATCTCTAATTGAGACAGAAATATGCTATTTACTTAGCTTTCAGTTACATGATAATAACTGACTGGAGTAATTTATTATCATGGGAAAGGAAAGAACATGGCTGAATCGAGGGACCGTTTTTCCTCTCAACTAACTCAGTTTTGTAACCGTACATTCGTGTATGTATATTAGAAAAGAAGAAACAATCCAAAGTAATATCCGGTCGGAGGTTAGAATAAGTCGCATTACAAAAGAAAGTTGCGTAATACATACGTGAATTTATGTATATTATATGTATCGGTTTCTAGAATAAAAAATAAACAAACGATTGAGAAACTGCATTGGTAGGGAATTTCCCAGAGTGACCAGTGGCTTATATTGTCCATGGCAGGAAAGGAGGCTGTTTATTCTTCTTTGAAATGCTCAGTGATGGTTTGAACTTTTAAATTACCAATGCTTCAGCATTGCCAAGATGTACTAACCTTACTGCTTTTGATTGGCCTTTTGACATTCCATTCCAAACCTTTGAAATATATGCGAAAGAGGCGAGTGTTTTGAGTTCGCTAATTGTTCTGTTACTGAGCTGAGTATAGATTCTCGCTATTCCCTTGTCAGTCATATTTGATAGTGGTGACGAGTACGCCCCACAAACTGGCACGTGGTAGGGCGGACAGACTCAGCCCCACGGGAGTAAATAAATTGTTAAACACACATTACCTATTAAATTCTAATACAATTGATGAACAATATAAACAGTAATATCTGAAGTATTTTCAATAGTTATGTTACCAGAAGGGAACTTTAAATATTATCCTAGTAATTATTCACGCAACGATCAAAAATATATTAACCTACTTGACTGCACAAAAACTCAGCCAAAAATCACACAATATTGTGAGGCAGTGGAATCTGATACTGTTCTAGACCTTCAGTGTTGTTCTTTGATATTCATTGGTGAGGTTAATGAATTCTTATATCACATTCATATTCCTGATGGCCAAAGTCTGTTACTACTGAGTTATGAATATACTTTGGGCTCAGATAAGTGATCATGGCCCTTAGTTATACTTGGAATACTACCGAAATAAAATCATTGAGTGTTAATATTCAATGCATACATATTACAATACACTGATTCAATCTACAATGCGCAAAATTTTCATGGACATAACTCACATGTGAAATATATGTATGACTGAAAACTATCTGTTGTATAACTGTTACGTAAAGAAATTTTAGTTACGAACATTTTGGCTCATTAGCTTATTACTATTGTGTGAGAAAATTGAATTTCATTATGGTAAAACTATTACGTATTGGACGATGTTTTGAACTTGACTAGTTTTTCGCGAGATATTCAGGATAGTCACTCAGCCCACACGTTAGTTCTGTCACTTTACTATTTTTGCCATTCTCTAACTTAACTGGTAACTGAACAAGAAAATAGAAACATCGAATGGCAAACCTTAGTAAGATAAGAAATCTAGAAAAGGGCTCAGTCATAAACATGCATATTGTCATGAGCTACTGTGGGATGGGATAAAGTAACAATTATCATGACATGATTACAAAAAGAAAACTTTGCTCGAGACGTCAACCAGTAAATAATAATCTAACTTCTGATAAAGTAGGATAATACTCTGCCACGGTGCGATGAAATTATGACTATCTATCTTGTGTGGGAAAATTCGATCTTAGTAAAGCAAAATAATACAGTTTTAATTATAAAGTTTTATTTTCATCATGTAAAGTAAAAGTGACCATTTTCAATGACTTTCATAGTTTTATCTGTCTACGTAAATTGTACATTTTTGTACATTTTATTCTTGATTCACTCTCCATGGTGTTGCGAATTCATCAACTTCTTTAAACGTTATTGGATATGAATTTCGTTTGCCATAACGAAATATTTGTCTACGTTTATATGGATGGAGTAAGGATAACGGACGACTGAGTTCTGATGAACTCCATATTTGAGGTGAATTCTCGTTTTCTGTAAAATAAAGACATGGTAAAATTGAGGATGAGAATTTGAAAATTTTCAACTATAATTTAAGATCAACGGAGTGAGAACTTAAAAAATGCATGGGTTTTAGTTTAATGTTGTTCATACAACGGTGGAGTCCATAAAAATGGACTTTAGTTCAATGAAGCAAACTGATAAAATTTCAAGTGTGAATAACAACTAGTACTTGTTAAAAAGAAATGAGTTCTCTTTTGCTCAATAAGATGAACTAATACTACGAGCAATTAGCACATATAATTTGACTTTAAATAGAGATATCGGTCAACTGAGATGAATTTTCATCCCACAGACAAACCAGAAATGTGGCAAACTGCATAGTCTGAACTTTATCAGTAGCCACTACCAGATGTATAAGCAACAACCTTCCTGAGTGGTCATCTGCTTCTTGAATAGAACGCATTTTAAATTATCAAAAAAGCAGCGTAATAAAGCATTTGTACAAAGGACAAATTATTGGGTTAAATTTGTATTAAATATCAACAAGAGACAGCTCATATAAAATATAATTTTGAAAACAAGAATAATTTTAGAATAATTCTCATCACTTTAGCCTCAAACTATACACTTGTGGATATGCGATACAATAGCCAGTGTAGAGCATAAAGTAAAAGTGTCTCAATATTGAACCAATCAGTTTCATTATTAAACGAAGATCAAACTAAGTGGATGACAGTTTTGAACATGAAATAATAACCAAATAAGCAAGCAGGATATCAAACGACGAAATCTAGAAGTAACAGTTTATGCACAAAAAGTGTGGCGGCAGGAATGAAAGTATATGTTTCCTCTAGAAAATAATTTTATTATTCACTTTGACCCTGAATTTTACAAATTTTAGAGAAAGATACCTCTTTGGAAACATTTTTTCCCTGATTATTCTACAGTGGTACATGAAAACATTTCAGTAACTAAGTTTTTGGAAAGGATGCAATCGAACATTATTGACCTTGATTCCATCCACCAAACTTAATCAATGAACGATATGGAGTATTTGCTATTTTCGACCAAAAGTTTTAATTACTTATAAGAGTTTCATCATGCTGATGTAGTGGCAATTTACTCTTCCTAAAAAGAAGTGTCTGAAGGTAATCTTTGGCCAATGAAACTTGGTGCAGTCTATGGATCCGAAGGTTTCTATGCTACGACTAAAGCATCTCTAAGATTTTATTTATGGCCGTGGTATTTAAGGCTTTTGTTCAATCCATTTGAGATTTTCGAGTTAAGGACCATAATCCTGTCAGTCTTAGGGAAATGCTGAATTACCACTGAGTTATTTGCTTATGATAATTTGGCCACCTGATATTCTTTTATTTCCACCTACACTGAGAAATTACTTAACACTTCTTATTGTCAACACATAAAAATATCGACATTTTACTTGCTTAGACGAATAAGCAATCATTTGCTTGATCAAGAAACGCTGAACTTACGTAAGATAACTCACATAATCGCATACTATTCTTACAGGGGAACAATGAATATAAATGATTGTTACAATTTAGTAAGTGGCGTGAAAATTACATTATGACTAAATGATTTAGAGCATTTGCACTATCCTCGTCTTAAAGCTATTTCAGCAATCTGCTGAATAATCAGACAAATACTTTAGTAGTTTAGATACTCATAGGAATCGTCCTCAAACCGTTAATCATAACATATAAGTCGTTTTCACAGTTTGTTTAGGCGTACTATGTCTTATTCACACTGTGTAACAGTTCATACAGTTGAGAGAATCTTACGGATATCCAGAAACTTGATTCATTTCCCCAACAATGACAGTTACGCGCAAGAAGCAGATATGAATTAGGAGTTACACTTAAGATAGAGAATATTTGCAGCTCGGGAGGATAATTTAGATGGGGGTTAGTTCTCTTAGCTGGAATGTTTATTCGTGGAGCTTTCGTTGTCATCGAAGATAATGTCATCAGCACAAACTTCAAAAAGACGCAATTTATTTAGTAGCTTTTCCTGACGACCTGAAATTCGAACTTCTTGTTTTTTCTTATTGGCTGATAGACTGGGTCAATGTTAATATGTTTAGTGACTGCTGACCAACCTGAATACCAAGCTTCTAAAAATTCTCTGACATTTTTTGCATTTTGTCCGTCCTGCATTTTTCATGTCGAATTTGTGTCCACAGCTGTCCGTATGTATTGATATGAGCGAAGATTTGTCAAAACGCTTCACCGCTACTTGACGTTGTGTAGATGTATGTGAAGAAGGTGATTACTCTTTCCGGTGTAGTATTTCTCCAGTTCCTGAAGTTTATTTTGTAGATAATGTTTGGCTTGCCTTCCTCTGAAGTTGCATCTTTTGGCTTGCATAACGGAGACTGAAGCGATTTTGTGGGGTGTGAGCTGCAGTAATTCCAAAGGGCTCCTTCATTAGTCTAGTCATGATCTCGGGAACGTCCTTCATGAAAGGTATGGTAATCTGCTTATCGATTTCCGTGGATGACTTCATGGTTGATAACGAATTATGCAGACATCTTCTGATGAAGTTGCGTGGACAGCCGTTCTTCTGGAAAAAAGTCATTCAACAGTTTTCTTCTTGTCCCTGAAAGGCTGGTGTACTATAACGTCTTTCCTTTTTTGAACAATGTTTTTCTGTAACGAATTTTGTGTGCTCTTGGGCTGTTGTCACTGTAGTTGAGGATTGGATCTGTATTGATTGATCTTCTGTATACTTCATTTTCCAGTTTCCTCAACCCGTTCTAGTGGTCAGAACACCAAAAAATGCAAGTTGGTTGTTAGATTCCTCTTCAGTAGTAGACTTGATATCGTGATTAATTTGTAGGCGTTTTTTAATTCCTTCCTTTTACTGATGAGGATATGTCATCTACATAACGAACCCAATGTTTGGTTTGATAAACTACAATTTCGCACCCTTCAATCTTTGCAATAATGCTTTTGCATATAGTCCTGATATAGGCAGTTTCGTTGGTGTTCCCATTTGCCTGTGTGTTAGTTGTCTCTTGAAATGAAAATATGTCAGGCATGAATCATTTAGTCACATCAAACCTGAGCATTGTAGTTTTGTATGTTCCGAGAGGCATGTATCATCCGTGAGAAGAACAGTCAATGAATCCTTAGCTAGTTTCAGTTCATTTGAGGTGTATAGAGCTGTAACGTCGAAAGACACCATCAGTCAGTCATTATCAAAATTAATATGCTCGATCCTCTCCAAAGTTGATATAGTGGCCACCGAGTTTAATCGTGAAAGCTTCAGGTATGCAAAGAATTCTACTCCAGAACTGTCTCTTGTATTTTAAGTAAATCTTTTCTGAAAGAGAATTTCCTGGGATTTAATCAGAAATTGTTTGGACAAGTTGACTACACAGTCACTCGTTTTTTTCCTTACTGGTGCTCGCTGTTTTGAAACCATATAATATTTCAATCTGAGTTTTATAGTTTTCGTATTCTTTGTGTATAGCCTCTTTGAAATTCTCAACCTCTTCTGTTTAGGTCGGCTAAGTCATGGATTGTATAAGTACCAAAGCAAAAAGACTTCTAACTACATTTAGACATTTCTTACAGTAAAAGTTAAAAAATCAAAAATTTCTTCAAGTGAATTTAAGCTACAAAACAAATTTTCATGTAGATTCTTATATTTCTTACGTGAATTGGTTGCCACACAGTGACAACTAGAGATCCTTGATGTAAGTTGATACCGATCGGTCAGGTGAGTAGTTCGGTAAACACAAAACACATTACTGCAGCTTATTTACTGTTAATTGAACTAAATCAATGAAAACGAAGCGTTGTTTGGACAAGATCTCGTGTTTTATGAAACTCGTCAACTATATGAAAGCAGAAACCTTAGAAAGGAAGCCTTTTTGCAGCCGCAGCCGTAATCATAAATATGTGAATTGATTAAATAAAGGCTTACAAAGTGTTTCGATGACATGAGTCTTGAATGAGACATGAAGCGTCAAATAAAGTGACATGAATATGAATATATTCAGCAATATATAAACGACATATGCAACTAGACAAATATATTATGCACAAGTGATCGTGTCTCTACTAGTAAATACAAAAATATAGACAGTGCTTCATAATTAACAAGGGCGGAAGTTCTGAAGCATGCTGATGGTGATAATTTTCCGCAGTACAAACGATATAAATTCATTATTGATAGTAAGATGTCTATCTTCTTGAAAATATTTTACCTTTGAACTCATGTAATCGCATTCACTTATGGGGCTGATATAAAAAATATCTGATTACACGTCAGAAGTATTCTTCGTGTTCTGACTGTTTCCATATTTATTCATGAACAGATAAAGACTAGAGCCTTTTAATCTTCCTGCTCTGAACAATCTCACTGCACCAAAAAGTTTACCGATTTATATGGTGTCATACTGCTTGCTTTACGTCATAAAATGGTAGCTCAAGACGATTTCTGGTCATTGTAGCGTCAACAAAGTTGAGGAAGAATAATATTATAAACAGACTAATACTAATTACGACATGAGCGTTTGACAAATTCACACTCCTTGTTGGATTGTTTCACTTCAGCCTTTTTTCAGAAAATAAGATACCTAGATCTACTCAGTAACTTGATTGACATTCATACTGCTAGTATAGAAGCTGTACAGAAAGTACCACTAACTGATTGCAGTAGTTATAGACCACTTAGATAGATCAGCAGTCTTAGCATAAAGAACTATGCGTTTTTAGACACTCAGTTTGATTCAGAATGTGAGAAGTCCACCGAAGTAGCAATCCAGAATTCAGTCTAACTAAATAGTATGTCTCTTGAAGATGAATCAATCCGGATACTAATTCAATCAGTCTAGCTTTAAACAAATTATATGTCTTTCTGGTGTCCAGATCTAAGTGGTCTGGTAATCTGGTACTGCTAATCGGGTTGACTGCTATACAGCTACTCATTTCAGTTTGCAGTATATTTCGTGCAACCTTCAAAATCGTATTTATTTGCAAAACGTTGTATTTGCTGGTTGC